CCTCCTGGGCTCACAGAGAGAGCAGACTTCTCTCATTTCCCCACAAAAGCCACAGGTTAAAGGTGTTTATGGCTTGGCAGCTAACCAAGGCCACAGGCACTTCAACAGGTCATAGTCTGACCCTGTCAATCTCCCCCCCCCCCCAGTTGGTGTTAACAGCCATGCTTTCTACTATAATTTGAAAACTCTCAGCACCTCCACGGTGAGGACATACCAAACTGACCCCCAGATTCCAGCAATGAAACACAGGCCCATCGAACTGATCACCTGCATAATAATGATTTCTAAAAATTATATTACCATAAAACTTCTTCATCTGCCTTGTACAGCACTATCACATATGCTGTTTGGTACTGGAAGAAATATTTCTGAAACAAAATGATGTTCTCTCGAAATAAATTAGTCACTGTACATTGAAAACAGGTGAAATTTTAGCTGAGCGTGGTGTCTCATGCCTGTAGGCCCAGCTGCTTGGGAGGCTGAAGCAGGAGGATCCCCTGAGCCCAGGAGTCTGAGGGTGCAGTGACCTATGATGATGCCACCGTACTCTAGCCTGGGCAACAGAGCGAGACTCGGCCTCAAAAAATAAAAATAAAAAAAAAGAAGAAGAAAAGGTGAATTTGTTATATGTGAAGTATACATATGTCATATTTGTTATATGTATACTTCAATAAAGCTGATTTTAAAATAAGTGAAAATCACAAGTGACTTTCATTTTCTTCCTTGTGCTTTTCTGTATTTTCCAAATTGTCCTTAATTGAAAGAAAAATTAGAACAGCTCAGCAAAAGGAGCAGGATAGACTATTTTGAGGCAGGAGGCATTCTCTTGGGGATCTTTGGCTCTTGGTGATCTCCCCTGACTGGCAGGAGCTGAGACACAGCTGGAGGAGGGGATGTGCCCTGACTCCCTACTGTGTGTGACAATATTGGGTGTGACAAAATTGGGGAAATTGCTCTGCCTCTCCAAACTGCAGTTTTATCGCCTGAATGCCTGCCATGCCTGGCTCACTAAGCTGTGACAAGTCTTTTTTTTTTTTTTTTTGAGACAGAGTCTCACTTTGTTACCCAGGTAGGAGTGCCATGGCATCAGCCTGGCTCACAGCAACCTCAAACTCCTGGGCTCAAGCAATCCTCCTGCCTCAGCCTCCCGAGTAGCTGGGACTACAGGCATGCGCCACCATGCCCGGCTAATTTTTTCTATATATATTAGTTGGCCAATTAATTTCTTTCTATTTATAGTAGAGACGGGGTCTCGCTCTTGCTCAGGCTGGTTTCAAACTCCTGACCTCAAGCAATCCACCTGCTTCGGCCTCCCAGAGTGCTAAGATTACAGGTGTGAGCCACCGCTCCCAGCCTGTGACAAGTCTTAAAGAGGAAGATGATCAAACCCAGACTTGAGGGGACACTAAGCCATAGCCACCCTGCTCACCTGAAAAGTGGTGGAACCTCCTCTGCGCACTCTCATAGTCTTCGCGCCCCTCCCATCTTCAAAATTTCCAATATTTCAAACACACATAAAATAGATGAAAAGTCTTAGACTTGAGGAGATCAGAAAGGTCCCAATCTCTCTGCAGCCAGCCTGCAGCAGCCACCCAGCCCTGTCAAATCTTGACACTGTGGTCTTTGCTTCAGAGCTCTTTATTTTTTTCTAAGAAATACAGTGTTACAAATGTCACTAAATCCCCATGCATGTTTCTTTCTGACATGATTCCTCTCCCTTCCCAAAGGTAACCACTATTCTAAACTGGGGGTCTTTCACTCCCCATGCGTGTTTCAATGCTTTTACTACCTGACTGTACACCTAAAAATGTAGACCTAGCACATTTTCGAATGTTTTAAAAGACATTTGAATCACACTGTACCCATGCTACAACCTGACGTTGTTTTTTTCCTAGAGTATATTTATGTTGAGGTTTATGGCCTTAGTTTATTTTTATTCCCAGTTTATTATTCCATTGTATGAAGACATCACAATTTCTCTATCTGGACTGCTGTTGATGAACAATTCATCAATTTCTAAATTTTTACAATTATATGCTCAGTGACGAGAGTGGGGTCACTGAGTTGTAGATATGAGCATCTTCAACTTCCTTAGATGTTGCCAAACTGTTCTCCAAAGTCATGAAACCCATTTATATCTCCGTCCGTGGCTGTGAGTATTCCACCATACACCATGTCCTCACTGCCCCCACTCCACCCCCGTATTGACAGCTCTTTACTGCATGCTAGTCTGGTGGATGTGAAATGGTGCCACCGTTCTTTTCATGTGCATCTCCCACGTGGCCAGGGAAGGTGAACATCTTTTCATATTTTGGGCCATTTTAGCCATTTAAATTTCCTCTTTTATGAATTGCCTGTTGATAACCTTAACCCATTTTTTAAAAATTGGATTGTCAGCCCATTAAACTCCCTCCATCTGGAATACCCACCTCCCTATTACTACAGCCTATCTATTAATAAATGCCACTTTTTCCATGAAACTTACTCTCTCCTCAACTCAAAGTTAGAGTTGCCTCCAAACAATCACTGGTGACACTGTATCTTTCTTGTGGCATTTATAATTTCCTGTTCTGCAGTGTTTTAACAACTTCTCATTTTGCAGACCACCTTTTAGTTTACAAAAAGCACCTGCTCCTTCATTATCCTACTTGAACCTTGATCTATACAATGCCCCCAGAGATGGGGGTAGTATTATTAATCCCCTTGGATCAGAAGAGGAAACACAACCTAAGGAGGGACTAGCTCACCCAAAAGCCCACCCTGGCTCGTAGGCGGAGCTGTACTTGAAGCCAGGACACTGCAATTCCATGCGCAGCTCACTGCACAAGCCCCTGTTATTTATGTACGTGTCACTGCTTGTGCCAACAGACTCCCCCACAAGAATGTGGGCCCCATGGCCCCCAGCTCTAGTCCCACCCGGGGGGGGGGCACTCAATGAATATAGAATTTCTTGACAAAGAAATCATCACTCACTGCACACCCACTGGTGCCAGGGGCTTTGCATACATTAACTCTAACCTTCCCAACAATTCTATTTAGATGAGGAAATGGAGGCTTAAAGAGCTGAAGTGACACTCTCAGGGTCCCACGGCTGGCTAGGAATGAGGGGAGCTGGCCTGTAAGCCTCAGAGGTGACGCTTCCCTCTGTGATCTCTGCCCCCCACTGAGCCTAAATGCAGAGCAGCAGGACTGTCCCACTCTCATCACCAGCTCTGCCCTCTCTGGACACATGTTTTCTTGGCAAAATGTGCATAAGTAGCATGATCCTAGGGACCCTTTGGGACTTGAAAATTTGCTCTCCAGGACTGGGAGATGTCGTCTGATAGAGCTTTCTTTCCAGGCACAGGCAGAGGGAGGCACGTGCTCACAACTGCCAGGTTCTGCCTTGGCTAAAGGACCAAGAAAGGGTCAGTGAGGCAGGAGTGGGGAGCAGAGCCAAGGAGTGGCAGGAGGTAAGGAAGGAGGTGAGAGGACTCTGGGTCTCGGCCTGGGAAAGGCAGGCAGGGGGCTAGACAGACCACACCCCAAGGACAGGAGGCAGAGCACCAAGGGTGGGCAACTTGACAGTGAGCAGGGAAGGCTCTGGGGGAGGTGTGTCCACGGGCCACACCCATGAAAGCACATACTCCCCCAGTCCTACGGGGATGTCTGCAGAGCACGATGACAGCAGGTTAGGTGGGCCCTGGGGACTGAGGGCAGGGATGCGGGTGGCGGGTTATTAGTAGGTGTTCCCCACCCTTACCACCCCCAAGAGTGGGTCTGGGTGGGGTCATATCTGCCTCTTGGGGTCATGTCTGCTAGGGCAGGGACCATATGTGACTGGAGCCATGCTCACTGCCTCAACCTGCTATTACTGCGTCTCTGTGTCTGTTGTTTGTCATTGTGCGCCATCTCTTTACATGATGAGTTAGTGTATGTGGTGTGTTTGCGATGGTATCTTGTATTTCTGTGCTCTGTGTCTGTGTGCCATTTGTTGTTGGTGTACTCTTTCCCTGTGTGTCTGTTGTGTCTATGCCGTGTACACTGCACCTCTCCTTGTGTAGCTGTGTCCGTGGCCTGTGTGCGCAGGAACTCCTTCACTGTGTGTGTGTCCAGCATACGATGTGATGTGACTTGCGTGTGTGCTGTGTGACGGTTTCTGTTGAGCGTGTGCGGCGTCTCTGTGCAGCTTGTCCACGCCGTAAGTGCAAGGTGTTGTGTGTCTGTCGCGTGGGTGTGTGTCTGCGCAGCCCCGCCGTGCCTGTGCCAGCTGCGCGCTGCCTTGTTCGCGGAGTTGTGTGTGCGCGCCCGCCGTGTGCGCCATGCGCGCAGGGCGCTGTCCCGGCGTGTCGGTGCCCGCGCCTCGGGGCCCTGCGTCCGGGGGCGCCGGGCGCGCGGTGGCCGCGGAGGATGCGCCGGGGCGGGCGGGGGCGGGCGGCGCTGCGGGGCGCGGCGGGCGCGGGCTCCAATGGCGAGGCCGGCGCGGCCCCCGCTAATTACATAAGCGGGACGTCAATAATTCGCGGGAAAACGCGAAAAAGATGGCGCCCCGCGCCCGGGGGGCCCCTTCCTGAGCGCCCCGGCCCCTCCCTCCGCCGCCTCCCCCTCCTCCCCGCGGCGCCCCCGCCCCGCCCCGCCCCCGCCGAGACCCCGACCCCGGCCCCACGGGCGGACACTCGGCCGGGCAGCCGCGGGCCGAGCGCAGCCGCCTCCGCCGCCGATGCGCCTGGTGGCCAGACTCCAAGTGGGACCGGCAGACACGCAGCCTGGCGGTAAGTTCCGCCTGCGGGCGGCCGGCCCGGCTGGGGACTCCCCGCCACACTCTGCTTTCCCTGCGCACGTCGCTCTCCTTTCGAAATCTGAACTCTGGCGGGTCGGGCGCCCGGGCTGGAGTCCTGCGGGGAGGCGCGCGGGGGGTGTGCATGGGGGGCGAACGGTGCCCGCTGCGCAGCGGTAGCCCCACCCGGGTGCCCGAGCCTTGGCAGGCATGGGTGACAGGTCGTTCGTTACTCTTCGCCCCGAATCTTTACTTTTGCTGTTGGGTGGGGAAGGACAGACGGGGCTTTGGGGATTTTGCTCACGTCCGAAGTCCGGTCGCGGCGGGATTGGGATGGGGGAGCGTGGCGTTGGAGCGACTGCGGAGCGGAGCGCTCGAACCTGAAGGGTCCTTGTGCAATCTTTCCCCCCTCCCTGAACACCCTTTTTAAAAAGCCAACGGCCGCCCTGGGAGAGGCCCCGGCGCATGAATCATCCTCGCTTCCTGCCCCCGCCCGGCCCCGCGCTCCGGGTGCCGCGGATTTGAACTGGACGCGGACGGGAACCCGCAAACAGGCATTTCTTTGCAGATGGGTTTGAATCAGCCAATCACAGCCCGCGGGGGCCCGCTCCGGGAGGACGGAGGCGGGGGTGGGGGCCACCACCCGGGGGCCCCCCGCCGGGCCAGGCTGGAGGGGGTGCGGCGACCGGGCCTGCTCCCAAAGGCGCAGCGGGGGAGGAAGTGTCAGTTAGTGAACCTGCCGCTGCCTCCGCCTGGCCCCAGGCCCGGCGGGCGGGGACCTCCAGTGCCGGGGGAGCCAGGTGGCAGGGAGAGGGCAGGGGTTCAGACCGCATCCCCTGCCCAGTGCCTGTGCGCCATGGGGGCAGGGTGGATGGAGACGTGGCCAGCCATCATCTGGGGAGCCCAGACCCCTGCAGTGCCCTGCTCACCCGGGGCCACACACGCGCACACACGTATTTGGTTTCGCGTACTCACTGGCACACTGCTGTAGGCATCATGCGGCACAATCTCCCGGGAGTGCACACACGCACTCACTCGGAAACAGGCACGGGACTCTCGCCTGTCAGCAGATAGTCATAACACCAGGTGCCCAGGGCCATGCGGAGAGGGAGGAGACCAGAGTGGCCTGTGCAGGGAACAGAGGGAGGCTGTGTCTGGCGGTGGTGGAGTGTGTGGAGGGGCATGGAGCCAGGTGAGCCAGAAGGGGGAGGAGGAGAGGATGTTGGGGGAGGCTCTGACCACCACTGCAGGCATTGGGGAGCCCCACAAGGCTTCTGGAAGAGAGTTGGCGGCCTGAGGAAGAGTGTGGTGGAGAGGTAAGAAGGCAGGAGTGGCCTGTCCAGCGCTGGGCCTGGCGGTACCCTTCCCAGCCCAGGTGTCTAGCAGAGGCGAGCACAGGCCCGCGAACGAACGGTTACTGAGCGAGTGGTGAGAGAATGGCTCTAGCAAAAGATGAGGCCTGAACTCAGACCCCGACAGGAGGATGGAAAGGAGGCACGGGTGCCTGAAGCCATCGCGCTTGAAATTGGCAGGCCGTGGCAGCTCCTTGGTTGGAGACTCCTGGGTGTACCCCTAGCAATGGGAAAGCCGTGGGTGGAATAACGTGGCGAGAGGTGTGGAGGGGCTGGCGTGGGGACGGCTCCACGGCTTGGAGCACATGTGCGTCTAGGTGAAAGTCTAAGTGGATTTAAAAGTCCCAGAATTGGTTTCCATTAAATCTTCCTATAATTGAGAACAGAAAAGGGGATTACAAAAGACACAGATGGCCCAGTCTACACCAGTCCTCAAGCCACCGAGGGTTTTCCTTTCTAGGTGACTTTTCTCTAGACAGCTCTCAGGCTAGGGGGCGGGGGTACAAAACAGCCCAGTGCTTGCGTGCTATTTGGGGGGTGGAGGTGGCCCGCCACCACCTGGAGAAGGCCCCCCACCCAGAGAACACGGAGTGTGTTTGCTTGAGGGAAAAAGGGATAAAGCCTCGGCCTCCTGAGACAGGGAGTGTGGCTGAGGCTCGCTGGACAGGGGACGTTGCTCTGTGTTGTTGAGAGATCCATTGTTTTTGGAAGGCAGCACAGGGAGGCTGGGAAGAGACAGGACTGAATTTCGCATTCGCTCCCCCGATTATGAACCATGGCTCTGCCTCTGGCCCATCAGCCTCTTCTTACCATACCTCGGTTACCCTATCTGTAAAATGGGAATAATAATGTCTCTGTCATGAGGTTGTCGGGAGTAGTCAGTGAAATAATAAACATGTCTTGTACCTAGCACAGGTTACGGATGTGGAAGTTTTCTCCCTTCCCGTGCTGGGCTTTCTGGAGCAGGGGAGCGAGAGGTAAAAGCTCTGTTCTCTTTCTCTCCCAGTGTCAGTGGAAGCTGATGGAGAATCGAGCTCTGGATCCAGGGACTCGGGACTCCTATGGTGCCACCAGCCACCTCCCCAACAAGGGGGCCCTGGCGAAGGCCAAGAACAACTTCAAAGACCTGATGTCCAAGCTGACGGAGGGCCAGTATGTGCTGTGCCGGTGGACAGACGGACTGTATTACCTCGGGAAGATCAAGAGGGTAAACCTTTCCTCTCGGGCCCCTGGTCCTAGGCTCGGCGTCTCTCTGCCCATCCTCCAGCCTGGCGCTCAGACCGGTGATGGAGGGGGCATTGCCGGGGAATTCCCTCTGGTTCCGCTGGCAGCGAGAGAAGCCAGAGCCTGGTTTTGCAGGTGCCGTTCTTAGAGCCAACACCATCCAACCAGCTGTTTAGAAAAGTGCGCTGAGGGCCTGCAAAACAGAATGAAATCAGGTTGCAGAGGACCACAGATGACCATCCAGCCGGTTCTGTCCTCAACATTCCCTCCAAATGGGCATCCCCAGTCCCTGGCTGTACGACTCCAGTGACAAGGAGTGCACCACCTCCACAAACAGCCACCCCCCTTACCCCTCTAGCCTCGCCCTGCTTTCTGGAGACAAAAATGGGGGAGGAAACGCCCATGGAGACAAAAATGGGGGAGGAAGACCATGTTCCAGGTAGGCTTTCCCCAGCCCTTCCTCACATTGGCCTCTCCGTTCCCCAGGTCAGCAGTTCCAAGCAGAGCTGCCTTGTGACCTTCGAAGATAATTCCAAATACTGGGTCCTGTGGAAGGATATACAGCATGGTGAGTTTGCCTAACATCCTGGGTCCCCCACCCTCCCCAGGTCCTCTCGTCTCCTCTGCCTTCACTTTTTCCTTCTCTCCTTCTGTCTCTTACTCCTGGCATCTGCCTTTGTCTGTGGCCCCCAGGCCCGGCTGAGGTGACGATCAGGTGGCCAGTTGTGCGCTTACTTGGCAAGGCGCTTAGGACATCTATCAGCCCTTTGAGTGCTTAGACCTTGTGATGGGGACAGGGCAGGTGGGGATGTGGCTCAGAGAGGTAGTAGGAGGCTGGGACTGGGTCTCAGGCCTGTGTGTGCTTCCTTGCTGTGTGACATCTGCTGCTCAAGGCTCTGGGTGTCTGCCTAGGAAAGGGGAGGGGCCCAGGTACTCGGAATTGTCACCTCTAATTGCCAGCACAAGGCCCCCATTTAACACATGGGTAAAACTAGTGGAGGCAACTTTATCCATGGGGCAAGGAGTAGGGGAGTAGGGGGAAAGACCCAGAAAGCAGAGATGGGCCAGGCAGGGTGAGGATGGAGAGGCCCAGCTGGAGCTAGACGAGCTTTAGAAATGAAAGGGAGCAGGGCAGGTACCATCACTGCCTTCAGAAAGCTGGCATCTTTGTCTTACAGAGGTGGCAAATCGGGGACATTCTTGCCAACATTCTCCCTCCCCATGCACACGACAGGCATTAGTCGTCAGTCACAACACTCATATACTTCCAACATGGAGCTCCAGGCAGCCAGTACCCGTCAGTCAGAGTTGGCATGAGAGGAGAAACCTGTTTGTCCTTTATGCTCTAACAGGAAAAGAGACAAGGCCGTTCCAGCTCTGCCACTTACTAGCTGCATATCCTAGGGCAAGTAACGTGAACTCCCTGGGTCTTAGTCTTTTCATCTAAAAGAAGGAGATAATGAAAGTGCCAGCTTCACAGGGTGGTCGGGAGCATTAAACAAGATAATCCATATAAAATGCTAGTTCAGTGTGACTGAGTTGTAGAGAAGTAGTTCATCAAGAATGTGTTACCGTAAGAGATGATTCCAAGAAGCCTGCCAAGTAGAGGCCACGGAACCCAGCCAGTTCGTAGGGCTTTCAAATTGCCCCTTTGTCCAAGAATGGCCAGTGCAGACTGATTCTTCTCCAAGCCCCTAAATTTATCAGATAAAGACCCAAAACAATGAGTTACTGTCTTGTTGAAAGCCTAGGAGCCAGATGGAGAAGACTGCCCACCCTGTGTAGAAGCCCACCCTGCACCAGCCTCCATGGAGGTGCTGTAGTGCTGGGCAGGGGACCGGCTTGTCTCCCAGCCAGAGGACTGCTCCTCCCAGACAGAATGGTGGCCCCTTGGCATCTCCCAAGAAGGGAGCCCAAGGCTGAGCACCACCGTAGTTACTGATCCATCGCTTCATTAAGCCAATGAGAATTTCCGGAGACCCACTGTGGGCACCAGCTTCCTGGGGGCAGATTCAGGAGTAACAGACAAGGTTCCTGCCTGGCCATGTATTCAACCAACATGTCTTGGAACACCTGTTACACGCGACACTCTATATGAAGTCCCGGGGACACAAGGATAAAGGGATACCATTTCTGCCTTTATAAAACATTTAGCCTGCTGGGGAAATATTAATAAGACAGAAGCACATAGCAAAATGTGTTTAATGTATTCATACAAACCTTTCACACATAAAAACATATTTATTCTTCGACCAAAAAAAAAAAAAAGAGAGAGAGAGAGAGAGATGGAGAGGGAATCTGTAGATTAAAAGCAATTTTAAAAACATCAGCCAGTTACCATGTGTGGACTTTATATGGATCTTGATTTAAAAGAACAGACTTAAAATTCTTATGACATTTTTATTTAGGGGGCAGTTGGAAATGTGAACACTGACTGAATTTGTAGATGTTATTAAGCAACTATATTAAATTTAGGTGAAATAAAGGTGCTGTAGTTATGTTTTTAAAAAGGAGTCTTGATCTTTCAGAGATGCATACTGAAATCTTTATGGAAAAATGGGTATCTGGGACTTGATTCAGAATAATTACTGGAAGGAGAAGTGGGTGGGAATATAGTTGAAACAAGATTGGCCATGTGTTCATAATTGTCAAGAACATGGGGTTTCATTTTAACATCCTATTATTGTCCCATAATATAATTTTTAAAAATTATTTAACATAACTATTTAACAAAACAAGTTAAATCAGGGAGGAGAGGCAGTACAATGTGCTTAAAAGCACAGAGGATTTGATGTCACATAGCTATGGGTTTAAATCCCACATCTCCTACTTACTAGCTAAGCAAGGTATCTAACCTCCCAGAGCCTCAATTTCCCTATCTTTAGAATAGGCTAATGGTAACAGGCACCTCAGAGAGGTTGGGGAAAGGCAGTGAGGTAGCACATGGGGCCCAGCGCTAAGCCCAGTACGTGGAGCAGCTCAGCACCTGGACTGACTGTAAAACTTTCCTAATTCCCGTGAGCTGGACCTGACCCTAGAGGGCCTGTCTTTCAGCTGGCGTTCCAGGAGAGGAGCCCAAGTGCAACATCTGCCTGGGGAAGACATCAGGGCCTCTGAATGAGATCCTCATCTGTGGGAAGTGTGGCCTGGGTGAGTGGAGGGAGCGGGGCACGGAGAAGGCCCTGACCTGTGGGTCCCCCACACTGGCCTCTAAGGGCACTACTTCTGACTGTTGGGGCCCCAGCTGGCTTCCTGTTTCTCTTGGAGCATATGATAAAAGGGGGCCAGTCTCTGTGAATAAGGGCCAGGGAGGTGACCTTGGGGAAAGCTGGCAAAGTACAATGGGAGTATGCAGTTTGGGGCCCCCCTAGGTGGAGAGGTTGGGTGGGAAAGATGGGGCACAGGCAGACCGTGGTGCCTGCCCCACTGGCCAATGGTGTCATTTAGTGCCCAGCCTGGACACCGATTTGGCCACCTTGGCGGGCATCACCAGCCAGTCCCCTGGCAGCCGGCAGGCAGAACTCCTAGGACTTCCTGCAGCCCTCCCAGCCTTGCCACCTTTGGGCCGCCTGGCCTTGGGCCACTGCTTCCTGTGGGCACTCACTACCCCTCCTCTGCCGTAGGTTACCACCAGCAGTGCCACATTCCCATAGCAGGCAGTGCCGACCGGCCCCTGCTCACACCCTGGTTCTGCCGACGCTGCATCTTCGCGCTGGCTGTGCGGGTGAGCCCTGTGTCCCTCCCAGTCGCTGCTTCTCCTGCCTCCTCCAGTCGGGCAGCCCAGAGAACCCCTGAGCTCAGGCCTGACTCCCCATCACGCAGCCTGAGCTCCAAGCAGAAGGGCCATACCTGGGCTTTGGAGACAGAGGGCGCCTCTGCCACGTACCGGCTGTCTGTCCTTGGCCAGGTTCCACTGCTTGCTGAGCCTATTTCCTCATCTGTAAATGGACACGGATTTGGTGTCAGAAGTAGGAGGACCCCAATAAATGGTGCTTTACTATTAAAAGAGAAAACCCATATAATGTCCACACTTAATACATATTGGTAATTGTCACCTTTATTGTGCCTATTACTATTAATACTATTATGAATACGAATGGAGATCTTTCTGGGATAGAGGGGACGGTTTGGAATTGGAGAGAAAAAGCTTTGTGTCTCCGACCACACTGGAATATCTGCGGGTACCCCTAAGCCCTGGGCAGCATTTCCCTTGATAGCCGTGTGCCCGCGTGTGGCCCAGCCGGGACCGGCAGTTGACTCAGGTCCTGGTCTCCCCCCAGAAAGGCGGCGCGCTGAAGAAGGGCGCCATCGCCAGGACGCTGCAGGCCGTGAAGATGGTGCTGTCCTACCAGCCGGAGGAGCTCGAGTGGGACTCGCCCCACCGCACCAATCAGCAGCAATGCTACTGCTACTGCGGCGGGCCCGGAGAGTAAGGCCGCGGGCCCGGGCCCCAGGGAGGCGGGGCAGGGCCGGCCGGACAGAAGCCAGCCGGGAGAGTCAGGCCTTGGGGACTGGGACTGGGCCTCGAGGGGCCGGCCCGTAGTGTCAGCCACGGGGGCGGGGCCTCGGGGGGCGGGCCTGGAGAGTCAGCCATGGGGGCGGGGCCTCGGGGGGCGGGCCTGGAGAGTCAGCCATGGGGGCGGGGCCTCGGGGGCGGGCCTGGAGTGTCAGCCACGGGGGCGGGGCCTCGGGGGCCGGCCTAGAGGGTCAGCCGCCGGGGTCGGGTCTCGGCAGGGCGGGCCGGAGCAGGGCTCCAGGGAGGCGGAGCAGGTTAGGGAGCACCTGGTGGCCGGGGCAGGGGGTAAAGGGCGAGGGCCTGGAGAGTCGCCTGGGGAACAGAATCCGAGGAGGCAGGGCCTCGAGGGGCGGTCCCCGAAGGTAAGGCTTTGGGTAGGGTCCCAGGGGGCGGGACCTCACGGGGAGAACGGAAGATTAAGGCCCTAAGGCCGGGCTCCCGGTAGTGTCTGTCACTCTAGAGCACTGAGGGTAGAGGGCAGAGGGCAGAGGTGTGTCCTCGGAGCACCGTGGGAAAGAAAAAGTATTGAGTGTTTAAGAGCTTAGGCCCCCAACACTCGGTCCTGATCCTCCCAGGACGTCCACACCCTGGCTCTGCCCCTTACCAGATGGAAACCCATGAGCCTCAGTTCTCTTAATAGTTTCTTGGTCTTGTGGTTGTGAGCAGGGTGTGAATTATATAATTTACATAAAGGTTCACACAGTACCTGGCACTTGGTAAGCACTTTAAAAATGTGATGGTGGTCGGGCTACTAATGTATGGAAGCCAAGATAACCTTTTCATCGTCAAAGCCAATGTAACAGGCTATTGGTGAAATATTAAAATCCTTTTCCCTGGAGAAGTGCAAACAGGAGCTGGGGGTCCTGCATATTGGGGATGCTTGGAGGGGATCCTTGCCCTGGGTGGGGCAAGAGTCTTTGATCCTTCCTTGCCAACCTGGGCCTCCATGTAGCCTGCTCCCTTGGGCTGACTGCACCAGGCATTGTGGAAGGAAACACAGACGAGTGTCTGCCCTCAGGAAATGCAGCCTCCGGGACCCTCTGAAGTCTTGAATCTCAGCCCCAAGGTCTGTGGATAACTAAGGGTCCAGAGGCAGTAGTTACAGCCCAGCTGAGTAACTTGGGTACTCACTTGACCCACCTTGTCTCTCACAGGGGTTTAATTACCTCAGCTTCTTCAACTTCCCCAAGTGTTGGGAGGCCTAAGAGATAACAGACGAAGAACTGCTTTCAGAAACCTTTGCAGCATTAAGGCAGTGCTTCTCAACACTTACTAGGCAGAGTTGCACAGGGTGATTATTAAAAATGTATCCCAGAGGCTTCCCCAAAGATCAAATAGGTCTGGAATGGACCAAGGAATCTGCATTTTAACCTGTACCTCAGGCTGGGCGCTGTGGCTCATGCCTGTAATCCTAGCACTCTGGGAGGCTGAGGCGGGCAGATTGCTTGAGGTCAGGAGTTCGAAACCAGCCTGAACAAGAGCGAGACCCTGTCTCTACTATAAATAGAAATAAATTAATTGGCCAACTAATATATATAGAAAAAATTACCCGGGCATGGTGGTGCATGCCTGTAGTCCCAGCTACTCGGGAGGCTGAGGCAGCAGGATTGCTTGAGCCCAGGAGTTTGAGGTTGCTGTGAGCTAGGCTGACACCAGGGCACTCACTCTAGCCTGAGCAACAAAGTGAGACTCTGTCTCAAAAAAAACAAACAAACAAACAAACAAACAAAAAACCTGTACCTCACACCTCACCTGACAAAGGATGAACAAAGCATTGATAGTTATCAAGGGAATAACCTTTTACTCTTCATTCATATTCACTGGATAGCTGCTAGATGGCCATGGTAGGGTAGGTTTAATACCAGGTGGGAAGAACCAGATGCCCTGCCCCCATGAAGCTTTCAGGAGCCATTATTCTCCCATGAAGTCTCCTGGGCAAACCTTTCCCTGTCAGTGGTGTTTGGGAAGCAACATGTCCAGAGATGGGGGCTCTAGGGTGGCATGGCAGGGGAACAATGGCTTTGAAGTCACGAAGATCAGAACTTAAATCGCCATCCTCCACTTGCTGAGCAAAGCATTTAACTTCTGACTCATCTATAATATGGGGACAGTGGCCCATCTTTTGCCAAATGGCGAGATCAGAAGAGACAGCATATACTTGGCTCCCAGGTCCTCCCCTGGCACAGCCTAAGTGTTCAGTAATTGTGAGTTCTCTTCCTGTTCTACTGGTGGAGGGCAAGTTTATAGTGAGAAAGGTTGCTGAGGCTCATCCTTGCCTGGGAGTATAGTCACAGCTGATCCTGGTCTCTCTGTCTCTCAAGATGGTACCTGCGGATGCTGCAATGTTACCGGTGCAGGCAGTGGTTCCATGAGGCCTGCACCCAGTGCCTCAATGAGCCCATGATGTTTGGAGACCGGTAGGTGATAATTTGGCCCAGTTGAGCCTTGGGGGTGGGATGAGGGGCCACGATGGCAGCAGCAACTCTTTCACATGGCCTGCCAGGCCCCAGACAAGGAGGGGTCTATGGTAATGTACACCTTCCTGTCTATGGGAGGCAGTTCAGGGTAGGGGAGCCCTGGCTATGCCAGAAGGCAATAAAGAAACATGCTGGGCCACATCCCTGGTTGCCATTGGTTAATGGGGTACCTTAGACAAATCCTTGCCTTCCCTAAGCCCCAGTCTCTTAAGTGTCTGGGGAAGGAGGAGAAACAGTCCCCACCCCATCCTGCCCAGGGTTGCTATAGAAGCCATTGGGGAACTGGATGTCTTTATCCAGCTTCTAACCCATGAGGCTAAGCTAATGGAGGCATTATGTATGTCAAACCAAATATTGTATGTCTTCTGGTTGGTGTCCCAAGTCATTTGTGATTGTCTGTGTGAGGTTGTCTCAGAGGGGAAGAGGGTGACCACTGCAGCCAGCCTAGCTCAGCTCACTCTCTATGAACTCAGCCATACTTCAGGGCAGTATTTGGGAAGAGCTTTGGGGTAGGGGTTAGAAGGGTTGGAGGAATATTTCTTCATCCCAGTCCTGCCCTGTCCTTACCTCCTAGAGGCCACCAGCCCCAGAAGGGAGAATGCTGACTAAAGGAAGGCAGGTCGGCAGGGAGGGTGTTGGACCAGGGTGGGGTGTTAGAGCCCCTCCCACCACAGGCCCCCTCTCCACCCACCCACAGGTTCTACCTGTTCTTCTGCTCCGTGTGTAACCAGGGCCCAGAGTACATTGAGAGGCTGCCCCTGCGATGGTGAGAGAGTGGGGCTTAGCCCCAACCCACCCTTCCTCCTCCCAGCTCTTGCCCTCCCTCTTCCATCCTCTCTCCTGGAACAATTCCATTTCCAGCTGCTGGGTCCCAGCCTTGCCTCTGCCTGAGGCTGAGGCAGGAGGCTCAAGCCCTAGCTGGGCAGGGTTCTGCCTCACCTTGCCCCACCTCCTTGCCTCCTTGCCCCCTTGCCCAGGGTGGACGTGGTTCACCTGGCCCTCTATAACCTGGGCGTGCAAAGCAAGAAGAAATACTTTGACTTTGAGGAGATCCTGGCCTTTGTCAACCACCACTGGGAGCTCCTGCAGCTTGGCAAGGTATGCAGGGCCATGGGATGTCAGAGTGGCAGGAGTCAGAGAGGTGTGCTCAGGGTTAGGATCTAGGTTTCTGAGCTCTCACCCTGGAGCTGCTGCATTCCTGAGTCCAGGCCTGTGAGCTTGTGCCCTCTTAGGGCCCTCCTGAGCCCAGATTTCTACAGTGGGCGACTGGGGACTCACAGACTCAGCTGTGGGGAGCTGGGGCCCTGGATCACATCTAGCTGCAGCAGGGCTCTCCGCTGAGCATCTGACCCACTCCAGATTTCCTGGCTAGGATGGAGAGTAGAGGTCTACCTCTGCTGAGCCTGTTCTGAACAGTGGGTCACCAGGGGCCTGGGAGCCCCAGATCCACGGAGTGAAGTAACACACCAAGACTTTCAGAATGTCAGAGCTGGAGAGTGACTTGCCTATGGTCAGCAGAGCTCTGGGGCTGAGCCAGAGCTGGAGCCAGGCTTCCCTAACCACTCCCTCAGCGCGGCTCTGCCCCTTTCCTAAGGACACCCTTAGAATCTGCCCCACCACATACAGAAGATGCACCTTCTCCACTGACTGCCCCAGATCCCTCTTTGATAAGACAGGGATTTTTGTTTCTCTTTTTGTTTTGTTTGTTTTGAGACAGAGTCTCACTCTGTCACCCTGAGTAGAGTGCAGTGGTGTCATCGTAGCTCACTGCAACCTCAAACTCCTGGGCCCAAGTGAGCCTCCTGTCTCAGCCTCCCAAGTAGCTGGAACTACAGGCATGCACCACCATGCCTGGCTAATTTTCCAAATTTTTTTGTAGACACAAGGTCTTGCTCTTGCTCAAGCTGGTCTCGAACTCCTGACCTCAAGCAATCCTCCCGCCTCCGCCTTGCAGAATGTTAGGATTATAGGCATGAGCCACTGAGCCTGGCTCAAGGATTTTTTTTAAAGTAATCTTTATGCTTTGCAAAAGGTTTTATATATGTCTTCATTTACAGTATTAGATAATTTATAAAATATATACATATATTATAAAGCCTTAAAAGATAGAGTTGGTATTTTTAAAAATAACTTTATTCTGATTTATTAAAAAAAATCATACATGTTCCTGGTAGAAAAATTTTAAAGTATAAGGAAGTATACTTTTAAAAAAATCCATATTCTTATATCACACCACCCAGAAATAACTAGAAATAACATTAGAAATAACACAAAGGAAATAAGTACATTTACTTTGATTCTTTTCTATGCATGTTAAAAAAATCCATATTCTTATATCACACCACCCAGAAATAACTAGAAATAACATTAGAAATAACACAAAGGAAATAAGTACATTTACTTTGATTCTTTTCTATGCATGTTTCATTTTACATGCTTTAGATGATATAGCATATACAATTTTCAATCATCTTTTTTAAGTTTACATTATAGCATAAATACTTTTCCATATTATTATGGAATCTTCATAAACATTTTTAATGGCTGCATTAGTTTCTACCATCGTTTACTTGTTTCCTTCCTGTTGGGCATATACTTTCTTTGCCATTTGTCCACCATTAGAAACAATGCCACAGCGAACGTTTTTGTATGTGAAATTTTGTTCAGGTTTCATATTGTATCTGCAGATATAGATTCCATGATGGAATCCATGGAGTGTGTTATGGGGTCAAGGGTATAGACATTGTTAAAGCTCTTTATTCTATCCATTTCCAGATGGGGAAATGAGCTCAGAGAGGTGAAAAGTCTTGTCTGAGATCATGCAGTAGTCAGTGGTCCTCACCTGGAGGGCTCAGAAGCGTCAGGAGATGGACGGGAGGGAGGGGACAGGGGCTGGGGCTTCCCCCATGCCTCATGCCTGGGTCTGACTGTCTGCTGGCCTGTTCTCCTCAGCTCACCAGCACCCCCGTGACAGATCGAGGACCACATCTCCTCAACGCTCTCAACAGTTACAAAAGCCGGTATGTGTGGGGAGGGGAGGGAATGGTGAGGGCCCCCCATTGGTGGGACTTCAATCTAAAAGTTCTTTCTACCTCAGACTTTGTACAAGCTGTGCTCCCTGCCTGGGTCCCCCTCCCCTTCTTGTTGACTCTATAAACCCTTCCCATCCTTCAAGATCCAGGGAGCCCCACAGCCTTTGTGAAACCTCCCTGACCACCCCAGCAGCCTGGCACATTTGGCTCTGGGCTCCACTCCATTGGGGGTATACCCTGCTCTGTGAGGGCCCCTCCTGCTCTAGTCATCTAGGGTTCTGGGCCAGGCACTGAGGGATCAATGCGTCGTTTCTCAGGTGGGCTGCAGCCTCCTGACCTGTCCCCCAGCGTGTGTCCTTCCATCTGGGGTTCTCAGCACACACAGGCGTCAGCGTCCCTCACCACCACCCCAGCCGGGTACCAGGCTCCTTAACCAATACGGTACCGGTCGGCCGCAAAACCTTGCCCACAGCCGGCACTCACATTCGCACGACAGTTTGTGCTGTGGATTGACAACGAATCCGTTTTGCTCTTGTGTGATGAGGAAAGCTGTAAAGCACTGAAAGCTTGCTTTACCTTTACAGGCATCTTTACTTGTAATGTAAATCAGAATAGGTAACATATACATATATGTTTAGTTACGTTATTTTTAAATGTTCACAATTTTATTTTGATAAATGAAAAATTAGAAAAGTCATATCACGGCTGTCAGCTAAAGTCGACACTCGGCTGTGCGCCTTCATATCACAGCTGTTGGTACCGAAGTGGTTAATCTGGCATTTTAGGATCAAGCCCAGCCCATGTCTTCTGCCACTGTCCCTTTGCTTTATTTATTCTGGGTGCCAGCCACACTGAGCCCTTTCCCACTCGGTGCTTTTGCTTGTACTCTTTTATATTTTTTTATTTTTTCATACTCTTCCCTTTGCCAAGGTTACTCTTTTATTCACTTGTTCCGTCAAGAAGTATTGAATTGCTGCTCTATATCAGACCCTGTCCAGGTGCTGAGACCGCAGTAGGGAATGAGAAAAGGTCCCTGCTTCCATGAAACCTTTCCAGACACTTCTAGGCAAAACTGCTCACCTCCCTTCCACATGCTCAGGGTTTGAGGCCCAGACTCTTCAGTACATGAGGCCTTCAGCCCTCCCTGTAGACTGTCCCCTGAAGGCAGTGCTGTGTCTGAGTCACTTCAGCAGTGTACAAGGGAGGAGGAAAATGCCTGGAGGTGCTTTCGGTCTCCTGAGGAGAGGTGAGAACAGAATAAGGTAGACTGTAGTATCAGTTCCACTGTGAGCTGGAGGCCTTCCTGTAGGAGGCTGCCTTGGAGTTGATGGAGGAGGAGAAGGAAAGAGACAAGAACAGCAAGACTCACACTATGCATGGGGGGGGGGGAGCCACCAGCTACACCCTCAGTCACCCTCTGCGATTCCTCATCCCAGCGTCTCCAGAGGCCACTCTGGATTTTAGCTCTGGGTCCAGGGAGGCAGGGGCTTGTTTAATGCTTGCCCTGCTCCCTAGGAGGATGCGCTGACGGACTCCAGAGCTGTCTCCTCCCCTTGCCCACCCTCAGGTTCCTCTGTGGCAAGGAGATCAAGAAGAAGAAATGCATCTTCCGCCTGCGCATCCGAGTCCCCCCCAACCCGCCAGGGAAGCTGCTACCTGACAAGGGACTGATGCCCAGTGAGAGCGGTGCCTCCTCCGAGCTGCGTAAGAGAGGAAAGAGCAAGCCTGGGTCAGTGCTCCAGCCCGGGGGCTAGGGCTGTGGCCCAACTTGGTTTCTCTGCTCCCAGCTCCCTGGACAGTCTGTGGCATCCAAGGAAGCAAGGAGGACCTGGACCTAGCTAGCGCAGCTGCAGGCACCCGAGCGCTAGTTAGGGGCTGAGCGGGACCTGGTCCCAGATCCCGACTCCTTCCACCCCAGCCCCGTTACCTCAGGGAGGGAGACCCGGATCGTGGGGCCCAGCCTTGCTGGACAAGGACGTGGGCAGAGAGGCGAAGGGGAAGGTGGCGTGTGTGAGGGGTCCCCAGCCCTCCTAGCTGAGCGTTAGGGGCAGGGCGTCTGGATGCACGTGCGTGGGGAGGCGCCTTCTTTTTCTGCCCACCCCCCCATCCCCCTGCTCCCCAGGCCTCCCTGGGAAGGTGCTGCTGTTGTCAGGAGCCCTGGCCTGCCACTCCTGAGGCACCACCCTCTGGGCCCTCAGGCTCTGACTCAGCCACCCTTTCCCTTTTCTGTCTCCACAGTTTGTTGCCTCACGAATTCCAGCAGCAGAAAAGGCGAGTTTATAGAAGAAAAAGGTCAAAGTTTTTGCTGGAAGATGCTATTCCCAGTGTTAGTTCCTTGTTTTCTTACTTTCCATTCTCACGCACAGGGTCAGCACATATCAGGGATTCCTGTGCAGAAAACTCTGACCCCCAGGCCCAGGGGACTCTCCCATGTCCCTTAAGGGAGAAACCAGTTCCTATTACGGCTAAATGAGGGAAAGCCGGGTACTCTAAGACCTCTCCTTTACCTCCCCAAATTCTCCCAAGAGCCCAGAGTGGGGGGGGGGGGAAGAGCAGGCAAAATTCTTTCCCTCACTGTCCAGATGGGGAAACCAAGGGCAGGGTGGAGCAGTGACCGTCCTGAGTCACCAAGGCTCCAGAACACTTTCTTTCCTTCTTTAGTAACCCTGTGTCCTGACTGGAGCCCTCCCTGTGGGCAGTAATGCTAACGACGCCTCATCTCCCAGCACGCTACATTTTGCAAGGCACTTTTACAATTATTTAATTTTACGGTGCTTCCTGACACCCCTAAGAGTGAAGTAGGACAGAGGTTATTGTCCTCATTTTGCAGCTGAGGTGACTAAGGCCCAGAGAGTTGAAAGTTGTATAGTTGGCTAGAGGCAAAGCCAGGACTAGGACTCACCGGTGAGGACCTGGAATAACAAGGAAGTGACAAGCCTTACCCTAGGGAGGGTCCAGCCCTCAGCAGCCCTGGCTGAACAGCAGGCAGCCTGTGTGGCCCTCAGCTGGGCGCTTGTGGGAGGCGGACCTGATCCTCACTAGCTGACTACTCCCCTCTCCTTCCTGTGTCCACAGAGTGACTTCACCTCTGCCTGGAGCACCAACCACCACCTCGCCAGCATATTTGACTTCACGCTGGATGAAATCCAGAGTTTAAAAAGGTATCAGTGAGGGACCTAGTGGAGAGGTTGCTCTGGAGACTGGGATGGAACCACATGGGGAAGCTATCTCCATTCCCCAGCAGTGCAGGAAGGTTCTGGAAGGGGCAGAGCAGAAAGCCTTCTTAGGAGGTGGAGCTCCTGTGGGCCATTCTGAACCCCCAGTTAGAAGGGTCCTTGTGGCACCGGTCTGTCTGACAGGTCTTTTTACACTAGAGCTTTCAGTATGACATTCCCGTGCCCAGAACAGCGATCAAGGCCTGCCTTGCTTGGCCCTCCCTACCCCTCCAGCCCCCATCCTGCCTTACACTTTCTGCCCAAATTGCTGTGGTCACCTCACACTCAACTGTACTGCCTGATGCCTCCTCACCTTTGCTCATGCTGTTCCCTCTGCCTGGAATACCCTTTGCCCCACCCTACCCCATCTGAAAGCTCAAGACAACCCCAGCTCATCCAGGAAGCCTTTGCTAGCCCTCCCCAGTCCATTCCAAGGGGAGGGACTGCATCTTCCATCATTTTATTTCCAATATTATTAACCGTCATTCAGTGCTTACCTGATGGCTTGGAAGGAGCGAGGGTTTTACTCAGACAGACTTGAGCTCCAAACCCTATGTTCCAGTGTGGCTTTAGCTCAATTCCTTAACCTCTCTGAACCTCCTCATTTGTTTTTCTCAAATAAGCTATGCAAATGAAAGTACTTTTAACTCGTAAAGTGTTGCACCAGTGCCTCAGATCCTGCTCATTAGTTATTGTCACCAGTGCTTATATCAGCACCAGGAAAGGGTGGTCAGGGAAGGCTTTTGGAGGCAATGGGAAGATGGGCTTCCGCTGGGATGCAAGTCAGAGGGGCAGAGAGACAGCTGGATAGCTCCCAAGGGCTCCTGAGGACCAGTTTGGCAGCACCTTGCTGGCTGGGCCAACGGCAGGCTCACCCTCTCCCTCTTCTCAGTGCCAGCTCAGGCCAGACATTCTTCTCAGATGTGGACTCCACGGACGCTGCCAGCACCTCTGGCTCCGCCTCCACCAGCCTCTCCTATGACTCCAGGTGAGCTCCCTGGAGGTCTGGCCTTCAAATTTTACAAGTATCATAATTGCTCCCAACCCCTCCAGCTCCCACTTCTGTGACATGTGGCTCATTCTGTATATCCGAGTCTCGGCAGGAGGACCTGGCTTTCTGTGACTGTGTGAATCTGGCTCTGGGACCCTGTGGTTCATTCTGGGATTCTTAGCCTCTGCATGCCATGCTTTTGCATTCTGTGCCTCTTAGACTGCAGGGTCCCCTGACTTTGGCTCTGGGCTGCCTGAATCTGGTATCTGTCTTCTGGGAACTCTAGGGAAAGAGCCATTTATTTGGAAGCAGATGGAAGGAAGATGGAAGATGCCACTGTGCAGGGTGTAGGGCCTGGGAGAGGGGACAGAACTCCCTGCGGGGCCTGCCCAAGGGTACAGCAGTTTGGCAATAGCTGGTCCTCATGGAGCACGGGGAGACTGGTGCTGCAAAGCATAAGGACTTCTTCTGAACTCCGAGGCTCCTCGAATTGTATTGTAGGATACTTGAGGCCCTTGCAAAGATATAATTAAAAGTATAATGCTGGGCACACTTTCTTGGTATTTCTTGAACATCAGTCACATACACTCAGCTCTTTGAATTATTTTTCAGAGTTTGAGTTTTTTTTCCATTAACAGTAATGGGCTATACTGTATAGCCTAGGTGTGTAACAGGCTGTACCATCTAGGTTTGTGAAAACACATGCTATGAAGTTCACACAACAACAAAATTGCCTTTTCTTAGAACATATCTCCATGTTAATGGGAAAAAAAACCCCAAACTCCTGAGTGTGTGTGACTAACAACCTGGAATGCGTGTTTCCAAGAGTTTCTGAGAAAATGTGCCCACGGTAGCTGGGCTGCAGTTTGGTTCTGTCATTCACGGAGACAGGATTACATGGAAGATCGTGGGTCAGTATGTGTGTGGAAGGTGTGCATTGGTTTGGCCTGAGGAGATGGGGCATCTCGAAGCAGGGGGCCTATAGGTTATAGATGGTTTTAAAAAAAAAGCATAACGCCTATAGAGGTATGTCTGAGTCCTTCTTTGTCTCCTGACATCTATGTTTCTCTGCGGTTGCCTCTGTATTTTCATTTATTTCTTCCTGTTTCTTTGGCTCCACTAGTGCTTCAAGTCTTGGTTGCCGTCCCCAGGCATCTGTGAATGTGTACCTTGTCTCAGGTGTCCACTTCTGTAACACCTCTGCTTGTGTGTGTGTGTGTGTGTGTGTGTGTGTGAGATTGCGTCAGTCTCTCTGTCCAGGATCTGGGGTACAGGGTCCTTTCATCTACAACCCCCATGCCTATCTCTGTGTGACTCGTCTGGCTTCACATGAGCTCTGGTGAGGGACAAGGCCATGTAAGCAGGGCCTCTGCACTGCACAGCTTTGGGAGGCTCAGGGAAGGGTGCTCCTGTGCTTGTGCGGTGCTGGGGTCCTGGCTGTAAAGAGCACGTGGCTCACAGTTGGACATACTAAGGTTTGAATCCTGACTTAGCATCTCCCCAGCCGGTTACTTCTCTGTAGCCTCAGTTTCCCTCCTCACAGGGCTGTGTGAGGATCCAGTGAGATAACCCATGGCTAGGCTTGACACAGTGCCCGCGACCTACTAGAGTGCTTAGGGAGAGGAATTTATGATCACACTTCTCTTTCCCATCCTGTCCTCTCCCCCTCCCGATACAGGCGGACAGTGGGCAGCCGTAAGAGGAAGCTGGCAGCCAAAGCGTACATGCCGCTGCGGGCAAAGCGGCGGGCAGCTGAGCTGAGTGGACACTGCCCCTCAGACAGCAGCGCAGAGGGGACTTCCGGCCCCGAGCGGCCAGAAGAAGGCATTGACAGCCACACGTTTGAGAGCATTAGTGAAGATGACTCATCCTTGTCCCACCTCAAGTCATCTATCACCAACTATTTCGGCGCAGCTGGGCGGCTGGCCTGTGGGGAGAAGTACCAGGTGCTGGCTAGGAGGGTCACGCCTGAGGGCAAGGTTCAGTACCTGGTGGAGTGGGAAGGGACCACCCCTTACTGACCAGCCCTGGGGTGGGGGGCAGGAGCCCTGAAAACCAAAGGAGGGACAGCAGAAGCCATAGGCTCCAGTTTTCTCCAGGCTGGGGTGGGAGAGGGAAGCAGGACAGAGCTCCAAGTGCCTGGCAAAGGCCCTGCCTGCTTCTCAGGCCAAGGCCAAGGCCTGTGTCTCTGCTGTGCCAGTTGTGCTCTAGGGCCTCCTCAGGCTCGTCACCTCTTCGCCTGTGTCTCTAAGGTTCCACTGGCTATTTTCCAGTGTCTCATCTCCACACCCCCCACTCTGTTGACGTGTTCCTCTGAATTTGTGTCTCCCTGGCTCTGTGACCCTTTCTCCTGAGGCCCGAATCTTTGTCACCAGCTCTGTCCCTTAACCTCTCTCATCCCTTTTGAGTGTGTTTATACATCCTACGTGTGCACACTGTCCTTCCAGTGGATATCTTGACATCTGACCTGTGGGGCAGCCAGTCCTTCCAGGGACTACATTATGACGACAGGAACCTTTGAGAGAGAATGGGAGGAGGTGGATAAGAGTCTGCCTCTCAGAGCTTTTCCCTCCCACTTTCCTGCTACTCTCCTGCCCTTGGAGAGAGGTGGTGGGGGTGGAAGAAGGGCCCCAGGAACACCTATGAGGGGGCAGAGACTCCTAGACTCTTGGATGTAAGGAGAGAAGAGCTGGGTCTGCCTCCGAAGGCAGGGGCACCAGGGCTCAGGTATTCAGGCTGAGAGTGAAGACTGCAGGGGTCAGCTGTGGAAGTCCCGGAAGTTTTTGGTTCCCTGGCCACACTCCCTCCATTGCCATAGACCTGGGCCTAGCCTTGCTGGAGTGGAGGCCTGAGGGAGGGCAGCCATGTTGTGCTACACCCCAAACTGTTTCCAGTGCCTCCCGCCCCTACACCCACCACACATGCAGCCAGACAACACACATCTACTCACACGGAAGTTTCCACACACACTTCCACACCACCGCATGTGCACACGCAGCACACATTCCCTTTGAGGCCAACCTGGCTCCTGCCCTTGGCCTTCTGCAGGGCCCGTGTGCTGCAACTCAGTGTGAGAGCTCAGCTCCTGCCCCTTCTTTCAGCCCCATAGAGAAGCACAGGGGACTCACACTCTTTTCTATATCCCCTGCCCTGCCCAGAAGTTCACAGTCACTTTTTGGGACAGGTTGCAATTTTTAAAGGGCCTATATCACTCAATTCCCTCAAAAGGAAACCTTTGTCAGTGGGGATAGAAATAGAATTCTTAGAACCAACATTCAAAGAATGTTCCCCCTCATCTGGAGGGAAACCAAAATTGGGAGGGGGAAGGGGGCCCCTCATTTTTGCTGCTTCCAGAGATGTTAGAGACTGACTCACTTGATCGGAAAATGAAAAGAAGTGCCTTGAGTTGGGGGGTGGGCACCAGATGGGGACCAGCCTTGCCAACTGCTGCTGTGGCCTCCAGCATGGCTGGGTTCTGCGGGCCGCCAGCGGGAAGGCGAAGGTGTGTGGAATAGTGAGAGGTGGGGGCCAGCAGGCCTGAGAAGCTGGGTTTTCCATTACTAGGCCTGAGTCCCCTCCTCACCTGTGAGCATTCACGGGGTCCCTGAGGTAGCTGAGATGCTCTCTGCCTTAAACCTCTGTTGCCATCGTGCCTTTCAACGGGATCTTACCCTCTGTGCACAGCCCACCTGCTTCCCTCTGCTCCCCTGGCACGGCCCAGGCAGGGACAGGCTGGCTTGGGCCCAGTTTTCTCCCTTCTCAGCCCCACAGCTGCTGCCACTGGGGCCTCCAACTGGGGCCAAGTGGAAGGGGAGCTGAGAAGCCAGCCCCCAGCCCAGCAGGGGTGTGGAGTCTGGGATGCAATCTGTGGCTTCCTGCCAGGCTTTAGAGCACACAGCAGCTGCCCAGGCCTGCTTTCCAGACTTCTGAGGAAGCCCAGGATGAGCAAGGCCTGTTACAGTACAGCTGCACCTTCCCTACTCAGGCTCCAGAGGACTCTGGGCTTCAAGAGGGGAAAGGAGGGAAGGTGGTCTCCTCCCTACTTGGGGAAGCATGAGGCCTAACAAGGTGGTCCTGACTCCCCACGCCAGCATTTCATTCATACCAGATCATAGCTGCATTACTGCCAACTGACCCCGTAACCCTCTGCACCTTCTAAAAGATACATGGTTTTGAATTGCTGCTTTTAATAACATTTGTTACATTAAAGTTATAATTAATGTGTCTGATTTACAATTTAAAAGCTCCCTTTAAAACATCATGAACTGGCTCTGGCTTCTGCTCTGGGTTTCCTGGAGGTTGAGGAAGAATGGTGGGACCCATCCTTTGGCCACCTTGCCACTCTTACCACTGCCTAGAACATTCTCTCAGCAATATTCTCACCCTTACTGCCAGAAAGAATAGGGAACCTTTTCTCTACTATATGTATCTGATCCATGGGCCAGAAGGATCCAGCTGAAGGCCAACAAGAGGTAAAAGATGGGAAATGAAATTGACCCTGTCAAAATACTTAAATGTAGGTACTAGAAAGCATTACTCAGTACACAAAGGCACACGATTCTAGAAACATGAAATGAGTTCCACACCTGGGCCTGCTAGTTATAACCTGTACCACTTTGGTCAGGTTCCTCTGCTTCAGTTTTCTTACCCTTCAAATGCCAGTGATAATCCTGCCACCCCCTGCTCCCCAAGTGTTGGGAGGGAACTTTTCATGTATGTGACTGATTATTACTTTAAACTTCTCTAAATTCTGGGCAGTTTCGAGACGTAAAAAAAAAAAAAAAAAGATGTGAAGGGACAGGAAAAAGGTCAGCTACATGGAGGAGAAGGCCATGGGTTCAACTGAATTATACAGTTTCAGGGGTAAAATGTAGCCTGTTAATCCCCTGAGTGAAGGGCTCAGTTGTGTTAATGTCTGCCCTTCATTTACTATTAATACTTTCTTTCTACTGCTCCTTCTGCTTCAACCTTTTAGCTGCCCTTGGCATAAAACCATAATGGGAGCCCAGGGTGGGGGTAGTGTGGGTTATTCTCTGGGCTGAAATAAATGGAGTGGAATGAAAAGCGAATGGCACAAGGTGTCAAAAGACAGGGTTCTAGTGCAAGCTCTAAAGTGAGCGCAATACACTGGCTGGCCCTCCTAAGCTCAGTGGGCCTCCTAAGCTAGAGAGTGCCTGGTTCTCTGCAGTCTAGGTTAATATTTCCAAATTGACAACAAACATTTACCTTTGGAGTTTAGGAATAAAAACTTAGACTTCTCAGAAATTCCTCAATTCATAAGCTATTCTTAAAATACTCCATACTCTTTTTCCTCATTATTATGAGTATCTGGATAATAGGCATATTAAGCATAGTAGTATTTACAAAGAACTGTAGCTTACAGGGAATACTTAAAGACAGGAAAATGCCAGGGAACATTTATTGGATATATTCAATTAACACTTGAATATCCTAGCAAGCTTAACAATAGTACACACAATCACATGTCTAAATTGCCAACTCAGAAATTTATTTTGCTTCCAAAGTTTACTTCATAGAATACCAAAGTATTTGCATAAAGTATATTATGTTTATCAAATTATTTGCAAGGAAAACTCACCATTAGCAGCAGACAGGAACAGACACACTTATGACATCACAACAACCAAAAGCAAGACTGACTAATTCAATGGTGACCATTACTCTTTTATATGTGCCTATCTCAGTTCTCTTAGCCTTCAACTTGGCATGTTAGTGTGTTAGTGTTTCTTGCTCTTGTTTTTTATTTGATGAAGTTGGGTTTCTTTAAACCAGAAATGTCTGTAATGACAAACTTTAGTATTAACAGGATATTTACAACACCTTTCCTCATTTACTCAACTGATTTTTCTAGGAATTGTGGAGTCAAAAAATATAAATATGCTAAGAACTGCTGGGAAGGAATTCCCACATGGAAAAACTGGTGTAGGTCCTAGCCCTAGCTCCCACAGCATCATTTCAGGAGGACAGTTTGGAATAGTGCCCAAACCATGAAAGTTGGAGTTATATAGACCCTAAGGACCACTAAACTTCTCTAAACCAGTTCCTTTATTTGTAGAATGGAGATACTATCACCAAACTCCAGATCTGTGGTAAGAAGAAAACAATACAGTAAGTTTTTAAGTGCCAGATCAACTTAGCAATAGATGTTTTAGTGACTAACAACTCTCTTCCTTTAGAGTTGGCTACAGCAGCCAACTCTCTATAGGATCTGTGGCCTACAAAGGGACTTATCAAATGAAAGGGAATAAGAGCATGAAGTTTAGAGTAAGACACTTGGGTTCACATCTTAGCTCTGCCACTTTTAAGTGTCATGTGCTCTCTGATCTCAGGTTTCATGTGCAAAATAACACTGAGTTATAAGGATTAAATAATTAAGTAATTAAGAACCTAGGACTGTATGTGGCAGAAAAAGTTGGTGTTTAATAAGTGGCCCTCTCTCGCTCCCACTTCTTACAATGGTCAACTTTGACACCAAGGAAAAGGAAGGCCAAATTTATTTCCCCTAACCCCACTAACCCTCTTTAAAGCTGCATCAATAGAGGAGAGAAGGGAAGAAATTCAGATACAACAAACATTTACTGAGCATTTAATACATTCCAATTACTAGGGTGAGCACTGTACATATTTTGTATCATTCACTCCTTATAACAACCCTGTGAGGTAGGCGGCATTATGCTATCCCATTTTATAATTCAGAAAACTAATGCTTAGAGAAGGGAAGCAATGTGCTCAAGGTCACATAGTTAATATCAATGCCAAGATTAAAATCCTGGCCTAATTCCAAGTCTAGTGTTCTTTCCACCATACCACAGCTGCTTCTAGAAAACTGCCCAATACTGAGAATGGCCTCCTCCTCCTTACTTGTCATGAAGACCTCTGGGATTGAGGAAAGAGAATGCCTCCATGAAGAAAGACAGCTGGGCCAGGAATTAGGAGACTTAAATTTACAATCTACAAGGTTCCACTACACTCTTATCTAACACCTTGGAGCAACCCATCTATCTCCGTGGGTCTCAAATCCCTTGGATACACCTATGCACAACTCAAGGCCCAGCAGCAGGACCCATCAGGGCATCATTCAGCTGTGCTCTTCATATCACCTAAGTAGATAACTGTGGAGTTCATCACTGGACACACAGGGTGGTTAGAAGTGAGAGAAGGGCCTAAAAGTGGTCCCTCTGGAACATAATTGGCAGCCTCTCAAGCCTCCTAGGACAGCACCTAAACCCCTTCACCATACCTGGTAATGTCTCTGGCAATTTGCTCGTTGGGACAGTTGACAAAGACGATAGAATGAGTGCCAAAGACACAGCTGCAGGCTAAGGGTCCTGAGCATGAGCATGGGGTATGTCAGGAAAGAAGCTGTCAGGATCTACGTGGTAGAAAAAGAAAAACATAGGTCAGTGACATCACCAGTTCAACACCTCCCAGCTCAAGCAGATTGGAGCCAAGGCTGGAGTCATTTTTTTTCATCCCCATCCCTTTCTATAAAATAATTCCTGAGATCTGAATTGAGCTTTAGATATTTTCCTCTGCATTTCACAGATGAGAAAAAAATGGAGGCTCAGAAATCAAGAAACTTGCTCAAAATCACATAGCTTTAACTGGTGAAGCCAAGATAAGGACTCAAGTCTGGATGACCAGAAATGTACTTTTATTGTACAAAACTGCTGCTGGAGGTAACACCACTGGCATCCACTGAATTGCCATCATCCTATGGAGATTATTATGAATGACAAGCTCTTACATCTATCAATGTTTTAGGAAGTAACTTCACCTCCATTCATCTGTGTACATACCAGGTGCTGTGTGCAGTATTGTGGAAAAGATAGCTTCGTACAATTCTAAAGCAGTGCAACTTGTGCGACCTGAAGGGACTAAGAGAAAGACTCTACCTGAGAAAGCAGGAAAAGGCTTCAAAGAGCAGAGACCATCTAAATTGCCTCTGAAATAGTAAGTAGGATTACAAGAGGAGGGGGGGGCACTCTAAGCGAACGATAATGCAGCTTTAGTATCCCTTATCTGAACATCCCAAACTTTTTGAGTGTTGACATGATACTCAAAGGAAATAATGCACATTGAAGCTTTTCAGATTTTGGATTTCTGGATTATGGATTCTTAACCAATAAGTATAATGCAAATGTTTCCAAATCCAAAATCCCAAACACTTTTGGTCAAGCATTTCAGATAAGGGATACTCAACCCGTATGTGCCAACTCGAGCTATTTAGGGATAGAGAAAATGTCCTGTCTGTATGTGCCTTCCTGTGTGGGTGTGAGATCAGGAGAAAATAAGGCTAGAATTTTAAGGGGTCAAATCAAGAAATCTGGGGTTTGTGCTGTTGACAGGGTGCTTTTGGAGGTTTTTAAGTAGGTGAATAATATAGTCAAGCTGAGCAGAGTAACAGAGGGGGTAGGGGGTGTGACAGGGAGTGACCAGAAGGCAGCCTTCTCAGCAAGCCATTATGACCCAGGAAAAAGACATTAAGATCCTGAACTAAGAAGACAGCAGTGACAACATGAGAGGAAAAGACATTCAAGATACAACTGTTCTTACTATTTTAATGACAAACATTTAAAATAAGAGGAAATGAAAAGAACTGGAGAACACCTTCCATTCCAAGGTTCTCTGCTTGGGAAATATAACGGAGCCATTAGCAGGGACAGGGCAACTTGCAAGGAGTCACGCTGAGCCAGGGGAGGCTGAAGAGCCTGCTTCTCCTGCCTCCCAGCCTAGGGCACATGCTTTGTGCAAATGAACCTCTGTCCTCCCACTCATTTTACATTATTGCCCCAGTCCCTGCTCCTACTCCTGAGTAGCATTTTTATGTCCTTAAGCTTCCATTTGACTACAAACCTGTCTAGGTTGGGTATCTCATTCTGGCCCACTACATCTACCAATGCCTCCACCAATTCAACATACTCTACTAGTCCTCTGAACCAAACCAGTGACCATGCAAGAAAAAAAGAACCAGGCTCTTCAAGGAAGCTTCTACTGTATTTTTTTTTAATGACAATTCAGTTAGACTATAGGAAAAAAATAAAAATACTAGACAGCAGGATTTACATCCTAGTGCCAGTACTGCCAGCTGCCTGTGGCCTCTGACAAGTTACTTCTTCTCCTTTCTATAAACCTGACCTAGAAATTGGAGATGACACTCATGCTACCTACCTCAGAGTTGCTGTGGGTTCAAACGTGATAGGAGAAGCAATTTATAATCACTAATTCAATAAAGGAAGGGACTGCTTTATGCACCACTATATCCCCAGCACAGTTCATGGCATACAGCAGCAGGATCTCAATAAATACCTGTAAGACTAGTAAATTAATATACCAATAAAAGGCTGTTTGTTAAGACTAAATAGCCTCATAAAGTAAGTAGGGCTTTGGGGTCACCGACTGCATGTAGTAGTTTTAGCAGAGCATTGGACATACTGAACACTCTAAGGTGGCTTCCAGAACTCTAAAAAGAGGCATATTCATCATAGGGTGGTTGGCCAACAAAGAGCAATAAAGGTGCTGAGATGACTGGAGAGGAGGAAAGCACCACACAAGCCTGTCCCCCAACAACAACAACAAAAAGCCATTCCTAGGGAATATCTGGAACATTTGGGTCAGCAATCTCAGTGGAACACCAAGCTAATAGGATTAAATATGTGTTCACCTAGAATGTATCAAAAATCTTTTTTTTTTAAAGACAGGGTCTCACTCTACCACCTAGGCTACAGTGCAATGGCATCATCCTAGCTCACTGCAACCTCAAATTCCTGGGCTCCTCCTTCCTTAGTCTCCCAAGTAGCTAGGACTACAGGCATGCACTATCACACTCAGCTAATTTTTTAATATTTTTTAAATATTTTGTAGAGACAAGGTTTTGCTATGTGGCTCAGGCTGGATTTATAGAAAGTCTTACATGAGCTCACAGTCAAAACACTAAGAGGTAAATGGGCTTTGAGATATCACCTACCACAACCCTTCATTTAACAGATGAGGTAACCAAGGCAGAATGTACAGAAACTCCACGAAAGAAGCAAGAAGCCTAGAGCTGCTAGGGCCTCTAGAAACTGCAAAGGTCACAGATTAGTGACTCACAGACCAGACACCTGGTTTTACCCTCATGGCATTTAAAAAAAAAATCTTGAGTTTGTTACCAATATTTAATATCAGCTTATTTCACACTCAAAAAATACAGATTATCTATTAATACCTTCTTGATCACTATTAGGGCCATGCTAATCATCTAGTGGTTCTAAACCTAGTTTTCAGTAATCTGTAAATACCCTGAAGTTGAATGCAACTTCCCATCTAGCTATACATTTTCCTCAGGTGCAAATCCTTAACTTTCAAAAAACTACTCAAAGAGAACTACAGTCCCAAAAAAGCTAAGGTCCGCTGGTTTACAGAGGAGGAAATAAGGGCCTGGGAAGGGGAGAAACCTCCAAAAGGTGAGCAGAGCTGGGCTAGAACCCTGGGTTCGGAACTTCTCCTACAGTTCTTTCCACCTCCCCCACCAACTCTGGAGTTACTCTATAGTCACTTCCAACCTTGATTAACCCTTCAGTTATTTCCCAGATAAGAAAGCAAAGCCCCCAGAAAATTACAGAAAAACAAGATGGTAACTCCAACAGAGAGGGGAAAAGACTCTACCAAGTCAGGCTTAGATGAGGATTCACCAGCCAACACTCCTTCCCCTCCCCAATCTGGCAATGAAACAGAGCCCAGTCACTCCTCCCCACCTGGCGGGCAGAGAAGATGTCCTGGTAACCTCGAAAACCAGCCCACAATCTCTAGGACACTGGGTGGTGTGGTGCTTCCAAGGACTTTTTCATCCACCCCCTACCTCGTTGCCTCCAGCTCAAATCCCCAGCAGCATTGAAGAGAAAAATGTACTCCTTCCCTTCCCCCTCAGTCCCCAGGTTGGAGATTTAGAGGAGGTACAGGGATTTGCAGAGGTAGCGTGGGGCACTCACCAGGAGGCAAAGACAAGAGGCATACAAAGATAGAGGCCTCAGGCAGCTTGGCAAAGGGCCATATGCCCAGCCTGTCCATGGTGTCCCTGGTAATTTAGGGGCACCAAAAGGTGGAACTGCCAGCCGGTGGGCGGTCATCGGCTGGGTGGGCACCAAGGGCCACCCACCTCCTGTGGCCTGCCCTCTTGCCCCACCCACCCCACCCTAGCCAGGCTAGCCAGAAGGAAGTGGCAGTGGAGGAAGCAGGAATTTTCACTGGGCAACCCTTTCCCTTGAAATGTACAATACAAGCAACACACCAGACCTAAAACATTTGCAAAAATATACTATTTCCCCTTCCTATTCAAACAAAAAATCATAAAATCCCCAGAGATGATCAGATAAAAAGACATATATTTTTCTTAGAAAACAAACCACATACACAAAATTCTTCCAATTTAAGGAGACAACCCACCAAGAAAAACAAGTGGCGCACACACACAGCTGTCTCTCTCTCTGGCCTCCACATCACCCATTCCTCCCAGGATCTCCCTTCTAAATTGTCCTTGGCTTGGAACACTCTTGCTTTCTATTCCTCTTCCCAGCTAACCCATTCTTTTTCCCAGGCCAGCTGCCCTAAGCAGCCTTTCCCACAGTTACTCCCACAGTCCTCTTCCCCCTAAGGCACTTTGCACACACTGCTGCTATAGCATTTAACTTAAGCTGCAGGAGCTGCAAACAGGTTAAAAAAAGAAAAAAAAAAAAAAAAAAAGCAAGTTAAGTGATTGTTGCCCTTGTGGAATGCAGACTCCACTGTGGCCAGGGTTCGCAAACTTTTAATTCAGGTTTTTAGTGCAAAGTATCCCAATTTTAAAATAATGACAACTCTTGGGGTGAGGATACAGAGAGGCACAAATAAACTGTTTAAGGAAACTGTTCTGTATTTTAATTGTGGTGGGAGTTAGAAAAGTGCTAAAAATTCAACTGTACACTTAAATTGGCAAATTTTATTGTGTGTAAATAGTATCTTAAATAAAACGGAGAAGGTGAAATGCTGGAAACCCATTCAAAAGTGTTTTAAACTAGGCAGACCAAACAAAACACGTCTGTTAACCAAGTCTGGCCTGCAGATTGCCAGCTCTCAGCCTCTATGTTTACCTGTTCACCTATTTGCCATTTGGGATTATAAATTCTAAAAGGGATTATATACTTCTTAGCAAAGCGTCTGACAAAATATAGTCATCAGCTGTAGCCTAGGTCCTGTCATTTATATAGTTAGCTATGCAAACTCAGGCAAGTTACTTAACCTTCTGTGAGCTTTTGGGTTTTTTTCTTTTTGGTAAAGGAAGGGCTAATATCTCCTTCACAGGTCTTAAGTGAACATTAAAAGAGAAGATGAATGGTAAGAATGCTTATAAAATATAAGGCCATGTCACCATTTCAAAACCAAGTAGTCTCTTGTCAATTACCAAGGTAAATTCAGAAAACTTCCATTTGTAATTGAAGAACTATCTGTAGAAAAAATATGGTTAGAGAAAATGAGGTCAAGTGGTCCTAACAAAACCTTTACACTTTAAATCCACTAAAACCAAGACCATTATCTTTTCCAGGGGTCCCCAACCTTTGGTGAGTTGTATAATTATTTCATTATATATTGCAATGTAACAATAATAAAAATAAGGTGCACAATAAATGTAATGCACTTGAATCATCCTGAAACCCCCACCCCCATATGCGGAAAAATTATCTTCTATGAAAATTATCCCTGGTGCCAAAAAGGTTGGGGACCACTGTTCTATATCTATTACCTATACATATACCTATTACATTAATAAGTACTGTTAATGACCATTTACCTCAGATCCAGAGATGATATCTTTAGATGATGTCCCCAAGGTTAGCTCAAGACCCTGCAGAATTTAAGCTCAATGTTTGTTGAATGACTAAATGATATGGATGTGTGGCTGGTGATGATTAGGATGATGGCAGTGATGAAGGTGATGTGTTGGGGTAACAAGAGAAGGATGGCAGGAGATGAACTATTATTGGAAAACCAGCCTCTGGAGGTAGTTACCTCTACTCTCTCTAGATTCATTTTCAAGGTCAGAGTCCAAAGTTCAATTCTGTATTCACTTCTTGAGCATTTTCTTCAGATATATCAAGACCCTGAGTGCTGCTGCTGGAGGGTCCAGGTGCTTCTTATCCTCTACCTTCTCCTGTTCCTTATCAGATTCTGATTGGGACTCAGACTCAGATTCTGTATCCATCTCCTTCACCCACACTACTTCCTCTTTATCATTTGCCTTCCTTCTTTCTTCAACTCTTTTGCTTTATTTATCACCAAAGATTGAAACTTAAGTAGCTCATTAATTTCACTTTCCTTGATATTGATGAATTAAAAAATCTGTTTTGCAAACACTGTGATTTTTTAACTTCATCAGTTCTAGAAAAATATGCATAATCATTCACAACATGCTCTCAAAGTTTCCACCATGTTTTATTAAGAGCAGCTGGCTATCTATCATCTATTACCTCTTTTATTACTACCTCTTTTATCACTACTGAAGAAACAGTAATGTTGTAATGTTGCCATGTTTCTTTTAAACTAAGGGGAGGGTTTTTTTCAACACAGTCAGCAAGGGGTCAAACATATACGCTTGGTGTAGTATCTCCTGAATGCTTCAATTATACCTAGATCCAGGGCCTGGAGAAAGCTAGTGCCTTCCTGAGGGAGAAATACAATATAAACATTAGAAAGAGCAAAGAATAATGAATCTGGATGACTGGGACCTCTGTCCACAATTAGCAACACTCTGAATTCCAGATTTCTTTGTTAAATAACTTCAGACCTAATAGATAAAACAATTATGAAAACAACCCAAAAAGAAGGCAGCAGTTACTGATACTATGGGATGTGATCACTAGAAAACAGGAAGGTATTTTTTAGCTCTTTCCAAAAGACAAGTGGGATTAGAGTCTTTGTAAAGCTGCAGTGGTTTTTATCATTTTGTCACCTGAGGCACTGGCACCAAAAAAATGAGAGAAATCTTGTTCTTAGCTTCCTCTAATCTTTCCGGATTTTTGTCTTTTTCCCTAAAAGTATGTGAAAACAAGCACTTCCAAAATAGGCTCCTTTCCTTGGCGTTGAGGATCTGCTGAGGTACAGAGAGCCTCTAGTTTTCTGATCAGTCTCTCCAGTCACTTGGAATACTGGGATACCAATTCAACATTTAACTGTCCTTCCTACCTCATCAACCTCATATTTCACAGACAGTAGCGATGTTTAAAGTTCTCAAGCCATTCCTTGCTCGCATGTAACTCATCTAGGTTGCCCACCCCAGAGATTTCCACCACTTCCTTACAGATATGTTTGGCCCAGTAGCAAATAGCCTTTGGAGTCAGATACCGTCCCACCCCCTCCCCCGGCCATGGTCTGATCGTCCGCCCAAAAAGTTAACCGGGTCTCCATCTTCTCGATGTTTACATCACGGGGAAAGCACAGCAGCTTGGAGCATATGAGTGCCATACTCTCCACGCTGGCCCGATAGCCCTCTCGTTTTTTTTAATGGTGCGCACTGTCGACTGATTAACCCCAAAAAGGCAGGACACACACTTCCCTCTGACTCACGCCTTCGTCCAGCTTCGAGAATACTCATCTTGTCTTCCAGGGGCATGACCCTCCGCCTCCTCTTGATTCGTGTCTCGCCCGGGATCAAGATTCCATCAAGGCCTCCGCTCCGCCTGGGGTGGCCTCAGTTGCTGCCCAAGCCAAGGCAGCCTCCACAACTGCCGTTGTCGCCGCAGCCGACAGCTCGGTTTTGGAGCTGCTGGGAGGCCGCCGGCGAGGCCGTTGACTTCCAGTGGGTCCTCACCCTCGCCGCTCCGCTTGCCGGGAACTTGGCAAGGCTTCCACCTCCGGGGTAAGCACGTAAGTCGCCCGGAAAACCACACTGTGCGACCAACTGGGAGGCGCCCTAGATGACGCCACACCGAGGAGCCTTCAGTCACTGGCTACCGTTGTCACGCCCTAAATGGACCTTTCTCGCGAGGCTTGCAGCTCCGAAGCAATCTCAGGGTCAGGGTGGGTATGATCAGCAGATCTCGCGAGGCTCGAAGAGGCGCCCCGAGAACTGGCCGGCGGGTCAGCCCTTGCGTGGGCGGGGGGAGGGCAAGATGGCGGCCCAGGCTTTGGCGCTGCTGAGGGAGGTGGCGAGGCTGGAAGCGCCCCTGGAGGAGCTGCGTGCGCTTCACTCGGTGCTGCAGTCGGTGCCGCTGAGCGAGCTGCGCGAGCAAGCGGCGGAGCTGCGCCTTGGTCCGCTTTTCTGCCTGCTCAACGAGAACCACCGGTGAGAGGACCCTGGAGCTTGAGCGGAGAGAGGGGCACCCCTAAGTGTGGACAGGAGGGTGATTGGGGGCGAAGGCAGTGCTTTTCTCAGTCACAGGGAGGGTGGAAAATAGCCGAAATTGCAGAGAGCAAAGGATCCTGGGCTGAGAGGCAAGAGACGAGTTTCAAACTCAGTCTGTGAGGATGCCCCTGGGTCAGTTTTCTTTTGTCGCCTGGCCTCACTGCCTTCTTGAAATATGAATTGGAGGAGGATAGCAAGGTTGTCCACTTAACAAGAAAGACTCCACATCCTTGTGTACAAGTTCTTGACTGTTTTTCTCTTCCAAAGGGATCCTTCCCTGATAATGTGGCAACAACCATCAACATGTTAAGTTCACATACCTTTTGGTCCAGTAATTGTTGTTACAGGGATTTAGTACAGGTATACTCGCACAAAATGTACAGTTTTGTTCTTTGGAACCTGCGGCAGGAATCACCCCCAAAGCGGCGGCAGAGGCCTTCCCACCAGGGAGTGCTCCAGACCTTCCCCTCGATATGGCTGGTTGGGGTTCTGAAGAAAGAAGCTCCAAACGCCAGGGTGATCAGTCCAAAGCATTTACTAAGGGAACTTACTTAGAGCTGGCTGCAGCAGTCCTAGGGACAGTGAGAGAAAAGTGATGTTCCACCTAGGTATGTTCGCAGCGAGGGGGAGTATGGAGTTTATATGGTTTTAAAGGCATTTGGTTCAGGGCTGGGGCCAGTTTCTTTCAGTGTTTTGAGCGACAACCTAGATACCTTTATCAGTGCCTGGGAATGTTCAAGGCCCAGGTTTGGGCTCAAGCATGTTGGGAAAACCTGCAGCTGGCTGGGTCCACAGCAGTCAAGGCACTGGGTAATTTTCGTTCAGGACACAATGAAAGAGGGAGGGAACTGGGGGGCCCTACAACAGTATATACAGGAATATTCATAACAGATGGTGTGTGACACCAAAGCACTAGAAACAATCTAAATATCCATTAACAGGGGTTCTAAATAAATTATGAAATGTTACTATGTAACATGATGCAGTTATTTAAGATACTGAGGTAGATCTATATATGTGGACATGGAGAAATCTCTAATATATGTTGAATGAAAAAAGAAAATTTCAGAAGTTTATGACTCTGTAATTTTATCTTGGAATTTTCAAAAAGGATTATAATCCTCCACCTTCACACAAATACACACAGGCATGTGTAACATTGGGAATACCTACAAAGATATACCAGAAACTATTAATATGGAAGTGGGCCTTAAACTGGTAGGACAGCAACTTTTACCTTTGATTTTTTTTTTTTTTTTACATATTTTTAGTGTTTGATTTAAAACACTTTGTATTTGATAATTTGATCATTTAAAGGAGTTTTGAAATATTTCTGATCCAGAAATTTTAAAATGACCTTACTACTTGAAAAAATAATGAAACACTGGATGATTTCAAAGGGCTTTCTTGGGTCTGACCTTCTAAGTACTTCCTTTTTCATAAGTGCTCTCCATTCATTAAATCCATTAGTTAACATTATTCAGATCTGCCTGTGAGATCTCTTATTTGCCCCCTTTTTATTTAGGCCCTCATTCTTTCCCTCTTGCTAGGTGTATGGTATTAGTCTGACTTCTCATTACCTCTTAGGGTCCTTTTTGAGCAAGTCTTTACCACCTGCAACCACAAACTTCTCGGGTCAGGTGGCACACATCTTTTCAATGGTTTCCCATTGCCGGTGGTGTAAAATTATGACTTTTTGCCTGGCATTTGGACTCTTTTTAGTACATTACATCCTACTTTTCCAGCCTTATATTTTTCCTCCACTCCACTTCTTTGCATCTGTTCCAGCTACCATGTGACATCACTTACTTTCCCTGAAGCATGACTTACATTTTCCTAACTTTATTCATACCAATCCTTCTATCTGAAATGCCCTCCCATCTATCTGTATTCTGTCCATCCTTTTAGGCCCTGCTGAAGTGCCATACCCTCCAAAATGTTTTTTCGATTATTCCAGTTGCAAGTACCACTCAGATCTCCTAAAGAACATTATCATTATTTCTATTAATGATACTTGGCACTGTGGCCTTACATTATAGCTCTCTGTGTGCTTATTTCTAGTTTGTAAATTCTATGAAGGCAGGGGCTATATTTTATTCACCTTTGCATTCTTTGTAGGGTCCAGCATGTAACACAAATATATGCCCATTGAAAGGTGAGACTCAGAGTTTAGAGAGGCCACCTAGTCCAACCTCTTCATGTTAGAGATGAAGAGACTTTCAAAGGTCACACTGCAAGTTGACAGCAAAGATGCAATAGGAGCTCAAGTGTGTAGGAGAGGAAGGTGAGGAATAAGGTCCATAGGGAAGATAGTTTGCTGAATGAAGGAACAGTGCTTTAGGAAACAGTTTTATTGGAAATTTAAAGATAGAGTAATTCAGAACTGGATACATAGTAGGTGCCAACTGCAATTTGTGGAAATAATTCTCTGGATAGCGTACTGGCAGTCTCCAGATACACTGCTATTATCCTGGCTAAACCACACAGGTTGCTATATATTGGTTCAGAATCTAAGCTTGTGAATGTCAATTAGAATTTTGACAAGTTTTTTGTGAGGGAGATTAAGTCCTAAGATTACTGCTTTACAACATGGAAGTCAAACCAGACTAATTTTAAGTATTATCTCTTTGGCCTTTTGGTAACAAATGGCCACATACAACCTAACATTTGTGCACTGTGCAGCTTAACCTACCACTGCTATTTTTAAACAGCTTTTGTGAAGTATAATATATATATATGTGTATATATATATATAATAAACTGTACATGATACAATGTACAATTTGACAAGTTTGGACATAGGTATATACCTGTGAAACCATTGCCACAATCAAAATAGTGAGGTTCCCTCCCAGCTTTTGGTAATCTCTCCTTGCCTTAGCCAGGCAACCACTGATCTGCTTTCTATTACTATTGAGAGTTTGTCCCTTTTTTGGCCAGACATGGCGCGGGTGTCATATAAATGTTATCATACAGTATGTACTCTTGGGTTTGTTTTACATAGCATAATTACTTTGAGATTTATCTGTGTGGCATGAATGAATAGTTCATTCCTTTCTATTGCTGAATGGTAGTCCATTGTGTGGATATGCCACAATTTGTTCATCCATTTCTCTGGTGAACATTTGAGATTTGAGTTGTTTTCTATTTGGGGATATTACACATAACACTGCTGTGAACATTCATGTACAAGTCTTTACATAGACATAGTCTTTCTTTTCTCTTTGAGTAAATACCTAAGAATGGGATGGCTAGATGGTATGGTAGGTATATTTAACTTTTAAGAAACTGCCTAACTATATTCCAAAATGGTTATACTGTTTTACATTTCCACCAGCAGTGTATGAGAGTGGATTATAGACCTAAATATAAAACCTAAAACTATAAAACTTTTAGAAGAAAACATGAAAAAATTTTTGCGACCTTGATTTAAACAGATTTCTTTGATACGACAGCAAAAGCATGATCTATAAAAGAACAAATTAATAAATTGGAATTCGTTGAAATTAAACAATGTGTTCTTCAAAGGTTGCAGTTAAGAGAATGAAAAGACAAGTCACAAAATGGAGAAAATATATAAATATATCTAGTGAAGGACTTGTATTTGGAATATATAAAGAACTCTCAAAACTTAATAGCAAGGAAAGAAATAACCCAATTAAAAAATGAGCAAATGACCAGGCATGGTTGTTCACACTTGTAATCCTAGCACTTTGGAAAGCCTAGGCAGGATCACTTGAGCCCAGGAGTTCTAGACCATCCAGGACTCTGTGTCTACAAAAAATAGAAAAATCAGCTGGGCTTGGTGGCACACATCTCTAGTCCCAGCTAATTGGGAGGCTGAGGTAAGAGGATTGCTTTAGTCCAGGAGTCAGAGGCTGCAGGGAGCTATGACGATGCCACTGCACTTTAACCCAGGCAACAGAGTAAGACCCTGTCTCAAAAAAGGAAAAAATAAAACCAAAAAAATAGGCAAAAAATTTGAACAAGAAGATATATGGATGGCAAATAGGCACTTGAAAAGATTCTCGGCCGGGCGCTGTGGCTCACGCCTGTAATCCTAGCTCTTGGGAGGCCGAGGCGGGCGGATTGCTCAAGGTCAGGAGTTCAAAACCAGCCTGAGCAAGAGCGAGACCCCGTCTCTACTATAAATAGAAAGAAATTAATTGGCCAACTGATATATATATAAAAAATTAGCCGGGCATGGTGGCGCATGCCTGTAGTCCCAGCTACCCGGGAGGCTGAGGCAGAAGGATCGCTCGAGCCCAGGAGTTTGAGGTTGCTGTGAGCTAGGCTGACGCCACGGCACTCACTCTAGCCTGGGCAACAAAGTGAGACTCTGTCTCAAAAAAAAAAAAAAACAAAAAAACAAAACAAAACAAAACAAAAAAAGATTCTCAACATTATTAGTCACTAGGAAAATGCAAATTAAAATCACAGCAAGATTCTACTGTACATCTGTTAGATTGGCTAAAATTTTAAAAGGCACCAAAGCAATCCAAGTGTCCCTCCAG